GAAGAAGGAGATGAAGGGCCTGGCCTGGGCACCTTACAGCAAGGAGCATCCACCCAGCTGCTGACTCGTTGTCATATGTGTACTGATCTCACTGAAGTATGTTGCTTATTGTATGAATTAACTGTTGGCAGGCAGAGAGAGAGAGAGAGAGAGCGCGCGCGCTTGCGCGTCACAAGCCGAACCATCACAAATCGTAACCGACCGAAGGCAAACTCTATCACACACACGCCGGAAGACAAAGTACCACACCAGGTACCAAACAAGCAGAGTTCAACCAGGAACCAAAGGCATTGCATGCACAGCCCCCTCAACAAGTACTTTGCATGTCAACCTGGACGCAGGTGTCACAAGTTCAGCATTTTCAAGTGGCCCAGCCAGCAGCGGCGAAGTATGCACCAAAAGCCCGCATACATCGCCATACCATGCCATACCTAAGTTTGATATGACCATGGACGTAACCAATGGATTCTTAATCATTTGTCCACCAAACTTGTGATGCATCATTCCAACATCGTTCGAGCTGCATTTCCTCAGTGTAACCTGACTGTCACTCGCTTGGTACTTAGGTGCTAAACCATGTTCGACCTTTATTCGGTATGATTAATCCCAATGACACAAGGCAATGATTGCTTTTCCAGTGGGTCGAAAGCACCATGCAGCTGACACATGTGGTTTGTCCCAACCCAAAAGCGCCAGGAGTATCCCAACATCGTGGTAGCCGGTCCGGTGCCAGGCTCGTAGGTTGTCGTGGAGCTTGGAGTTTCTGGGGCATGGAAAATGAAGATTTGTGAAGCACCGCCCCTCAACGACCTGCCGGATGTGAGCGATGCACAGTGCATCACAGTGCTAATCACAAGTGACGTTGGTTTCAGGGAATGCGAGGAAGCACAGCAAATGTTCGTGTACAAGCCAGACACTCATGCGGCAGGTGAGACCTACGAGAAGATGGTGCTCCCAGTGCTGTCCCCGGATCCCAACACTGATGAGACTCGTCTCAGACATAGTGTCAGGTGGCCAATTTCTTCACCGGGTGGAGCGGGTGAGTTGACCAAAACAAGTGGACTTCCATGTTCTAAGATCCCGGTGTAGACAGGGACATGATGATGGGGAGATCAAAGACAAAGATTACGATGCACACGTGTTTCATCATCTGGTTTCTGAGCCTATGAAGCAAGAGCTTTGTAGCTGTCATGTGCTGTGGCTGATTGATTGATTTGTCCTGCCAGCAATTGATAGAAAGTCCATGTTTTCTAGCTGCTTTCCTTCACTGTCAGAGTCACTTGTGCCACCAGCATTCCAAGACATTCAGCAAGCTCCTATAATTGCTTTTCCCCCAAGCTCCTTATTCCTTGTTCCAGTGATGGTGGACACAGAGCATGAGGGAGAGATTGCAAGTAGCTGGAGGCTTGAGGGTGGAAGTTTGCCAATGAGGCGCATGAATCGGATGAAGAAATAGTCGAAGAAACACAGAGAAGCTATTGTGTCAGCCAAGGACAAAATCCTCTTCGGCAAGGGCATTTTCTATTTCGGTGGCAATCGCGGCCGTGGCCAGGTTGGACGGCTTTGAAGATTGCATTCTCCAGTCTGAAAGATTTGTGGTGAGATGCATTTGTCAAGGTGCTGCAGGAGACTGCCATGTCGTATCTCAAAGGAGACGTCTTCAAATCGTTTGTGACCATTTGCTGGCGCATCTTCAAACTCTGGTGCTTTGTTTTGTGCAGGTCTACCCGGAGGGCAATCAGAGCAACAACAATCAGTTCATGGCGGCAGCCACCGGCACCATCTCCGCGATCGACGGCCTGAAGGTTGGTTCTTGAGTGGGTGATATCACAATATAAATATATGTATATATGATGTATATGTATGTACTGCATGCATATCTATTCGAACTATGTAATTACATAGAAATATATTGTGGATTTATGCGGATTGGACAACAGCGGGTGCTGTATATGAGGATTGGAGAATTTGGAGAATGAGTGGTTTTCTCGCCGATTGCAACACTCTTGCTCACAATGGGACGGTCTTACCATCGTTTGTTCCGTTGACGAGGCTGAAGAAGCCTGCTGCCACACATGGCTCACTGGGCCATGAAGTTTGCAAGCTTTACAACTCTCCCAGAAGCAACCAAATCAGGGCTCGCGTGGACGGGTAGGTTGGTAGGAAGCAAACAGCAGGGAAACGACATAGCTTTCAAAACATTAGCCTTACTCCAAAACATTCCAAAACTGTTTAACCCTGCGGCCACATTTAAAAGACACCAACTGGTCAGAACATTCCTAACCCCAGGTGATGAGGAGAATCTGTGGTTTGGGTCAGCCCCCTCCCCTGACCCCAAGAGCTTCCTTTGGCCAAAGGTCTTGTTCATCACTCATGCGGGGATATAAACCCTTTGCTGTGCTTGAAAGGTGATCACTGAAGAGAGAGAAGGAGTTGATCTGTATGGAGATTCCAGAAAGACAAGGGAGAAACCAGAGTCTTAATACTCTCTCGGACTTGTTGGTCCGGCGCTTGTTGGCTTTTTGCAGTTGCTGCTGGATGCTTCTAAACTGTAAGTAGAAATGGCACAGGCTACCTTCTCGAAACGAAGTTGGTGTGTATATATGCGAGAGAGATACTCAGGACATTTAACACAGACCCAAGATGACCCAAGGCTCTCCATCAATCGTTCGAGTTTATTCTACGTGAACAGCCAACCAGCCGCGGCCGTGCAGGTGAGCATCACCACTCCAAGTGGCGAAGTCAAGACGCAGGAGTGTTTGGTCGGTGCTGACATTGTGGTGCAGGCTTGGTGGTGTGGGGAGGCAAGGCCAGCAAGGCCCCTAAGGCAAGGTGCGAAGGCACCATGCACTGCCCCCTTCCTGGACCCATGACACTGACCCGTCGCTTCGCATGAGCAGTGGCCATTTAGGATGCTTGGCCAAGCCCTGAGACTACTGTACTATATACTGTAGTTGTGATTTGGTTCTGACTGATCCTTGCCATGTTTGCCAGGTGGGGGATGAGGTCACGAAGGATGAGCCCCTCACCACCAACCCCAATGTGGGAGGTTTCGGCCAGGACTGCAGGGCCTCAGCCGGGGTCGAAGAGACGTGCCACAACGATCAAGACCTTCAAGACATTTCTAGACCCCTGCGGTATGCGCAGCGCATGCCCCTTGATGCCCCTTGATGCCCGATGATGACGGTGCTGAAATGAGGTGATCGTGTGAGGTGACCCTGTGGATGTCCCTAACCCCAGATGAACGCACTTTCTTTGCGGGATGAACGCCTGTATGCCACATGAGAGGTGCATTCTTGCTGTATTTTCCTGCGACACGCTGGGCATTAAAGCTTGGACATCACTGCAGGCATGTTTCCCTCACCACATCATCATCATCATCATCATCATCATCAGCATTATCGGGATTTTTTTGGCCTCAATGCATGTTGCTGACAATGATTCACAATTACGGGAAGGTCCAAGTCTGTTTTGGTAGGTGCGCAGGCTTCACAGCCACCGGTTGCCACCTGCATCCTTGAGGAGGAGAAGGAGTGCGTCCTGCAGGACATGAACCGCGTGTACGCCTACTGTGCATTCGCTTTCTCTTGTTTCATTGCCCAGCTGAGCTTTGTGCTGAAGAAGACGCTGAGATTGCAAAGATTGGCTTGCGCAAAATCTTATGTTGCCATCGACTGAATGTGCGTTTGATAGGCAGGATGTGAGAGGCTGTACAATGGATGTGTTTTTCTAAAGATGGTTTCAACTTCGGAAGTCGAGGAAGCCAGGGCAATATACATACAAACTGAACCGTGTGTGAGCAGTTCTTTTGCTTGGATCCGCTCTCCTCATTCAAAGCCCAGGAAACAATTCGAGAAAGTCCAGCTGGCAGAGGGCTTCTGAGTGCGGTAGATCATATGCATACCAGCTTCATTTCTTTTTGTATCTAGTCAAGTCTCGCGTCTCTCGGGCCTTTGATCGGGCATGGGACACGCGTTCCCACCATTTTTTTTCGCACACCGCCCCGTAGCAGTTGAAAAGCTGAAGCAATTCCGCGATTCCGCAGAAATCGATGTTTTTTTGGGGGTCTCTTTTTGGGGAAATGTGAAGCCGTGGAGCTTAAACGTGGTGCCATTCAGCTACAAAACATGACCACTTCTCAAGAAAGGCATAACATGAGCCACTGATGCAAGCCAGATCTTTCAACAGGTTATTGAACACTTTCCCTCGGTGCCTCGACATTCAGCTTGGTCCTGCAGGCCAATTTGATCAAGTTTGCTGCAGAGTTCTGTGGGATGCTTGGCAAAGCTTGTTCCGCAAATGGTTTTGGCTACTTCAGAATGCTTGAACGTTGGCAACAAAAGCTTCGCGGCAAAACCCTTGTTAGTGACTGGACACTTGATCATGTGTAGGACCGTAGGACCTGTGGGTTTAGATGAGGTGATGACAGTGCGCCAGCCATGGTCTCCAAGCAAGGCACTTTGAGCCGAGTGCTTTTCCACGAGCGCACCGACCTCCTCCAATATGAGAAGTGGCAAACGGCCTCTTCAGAACCCAACGCCGAGAAAACAATTTGTGTTGCCTTGGCTTGTCTCAAAATAGGGGAGCCTCCAACCAATGGGTTTTGGTTGATGTTTTTTCCTTCCAGGGGGGTAGAACTGGGAGGTTTCCCTCATTCATTCAATGCCCATTCATTTGCTTCACTTCTCCTATGGCACCACGGCTATGCAACCAACTGGGACGCTCCTTGGGGAAGGTCAACCGGTCGAACCATTGGTTTCCTGTCCGACAGTCGGACCGTGCGCGTGCACGGTGTTTCTTTGGACCGTGCCATTGGACGGTCGGTGTGCTTTTGTGACATTTTCCGGGTGGCCCCTAATAGCGTCCTTGCTCCTAGTAGCGATGCCCTTTGCTCCTAGTAGCGTCCTTGCTCCTAGTAGTAAGGCCAGGAGCCCCTAGTAGCGTCCTTGCTCCTAGTAGTTTGTTACAGGCTTTTCGTAATTCTTGCGTTGGGAATCCCTGGAGGATCTCTGAACATAGTTGCCCAGCTTCTTCTTTGGGAAAGGTTGAGCCTGCTGTTTACGAGGAATGCATTTCCCCCAAACCTGCAACACGCCACCTCGCACCTTGCCCTGTATCAAAGTATATGTAAAGAAATAAACAGACAAAACCACATATTTATATCGAAGTACAATGATAGTAATGATAGAGTTTTTCTAGACTGTGACTGTGACCTGTTTAAGGGAGACAATCCTTGATGATGGTCATTGATTTGCTTAAGCGGCTGTCGTCTTCATCGGCGGGCTGCTCGGCAGGTGGCTTCACCTCCCTCAGGCCACATCCAGGTATGAAGCCCATTTCATGAGTGATCATATTGGACCAGGGCTGATCTGGAGAAAATCGGCTCCTGCCGTACTGCTGGCACTCATGCTTTCTCAGCAATCCAGTTGAACAGCACAGTGATGCGTGGCTATCGATAGCTCTTATCATCTCGTATCCAGGTGGAGAGTTCTGCCTCTCTGTCAGTCCAAGTCAGTGCCAGCAAAACAAGTAGTTCACACAATGCAGTCAAGCTCAGGTAGAGAAAATAGAGTTGGAGAAGCTGGATGCTGCCATGAATGCTGGCGCTCAGATTCCCGAGATGTATCCTCAAAACACCTCAGGAGAAGAGCTGACGATTCTAGGAGAACCTTGAAATAGCAGTGCAGCTCCAGAACATATTCCCGCAAAAGCCGGCGGACGGGCTGCCAAGCTCAGGTGTTGGCGAACTTGCTGATAGAGTTGGAATTGGACATGCAAGATCATCCTGCCCAATGCTCAGCAAAAGCCGCTTGCACCAGAAAAAACATTTCTCAGCACTTGCCATCTGTGCTTAGTGATGCTTCATGGCTAGGCCTCAGTGGCTCCAAAGCGAGGTGTGACGTGATCTAATCTAGGGCGGCTAGGGGCAGAATAGACTCAGTATATCGACTGAAGATTCGAGATTCAAGATGTATATAAGGCGGTGACATGCTGTGGACACACAATAACACAAAGTTGGGGTCTGAGGTGAACGAGGACTTCTTCTCGCGTTTGATGGTCATGAGTCATAATTCTTCCCCGTTTGATGATCTTCGATGGGCCGGGCCTCCAGCGACCGACTGCTCTAATTGCTCTCAGCCCCGACGGAGTGGAATGGTACACCGTGGTACACCGCTCAAACCATTCACATGTTCCGAATATGCGCCAGACATGAGCTCCAAAACTTGCAAGATGGATGCGACATTGATGGCCTTATCCTCAGATTGGAGTATTTGGCATTGGCTGCAATATGCTGTAATTGATTCTGTTTTGTTTGTTGGACGGTGACAGTGAGCAATAATTTCTGGAAAGCTATTCTTGACGGGGAGGAGCTATCATTAGCTCAATGCAGTATGATGATTTCAACTGTTGCTTGGAACCGTTACAGCCTTTACTTACACCCGCAGCACTTAATGTGGCATTTGCGCACTTGGGTCTCCAACTGTTTCAAAACAGTTGGTCATTGCACGGCCGATGGTTCTTCAAAGCTGCCCAAGCTGGACATGCCGGCTTTTGAGTTCACGCCCCCAGTTCTACACACCCATTTCGCACGGGTGTTTTGAATGCTTTTGCTCCAGGCTTTGACTCAGAATCTAGCAGAGCTTGAGCAAGACCTGAGAAGGACACCCAATGAGGACGGTGAGTGAATTTGGATGAGATTGGCGGTGTTTTGGTGAGTCAATTCACACCGCTGTACAAAACCCATCTAAAAAACCCGCGCCAGGACCCCAAAGTCCCAGGTGTTGGCCTCAGCCGGTCTGGAGAGACGAGACACACCAGCCAATGCTTCTGCAAATGCTCCTTGATCACCTTCGATTTCGCACCTGCAACTGATATCAATGTAGCAACTGTACATGTACATATGAAATCATATATCATATATGTGACATAAAGTGTGACGTGATGACCTGAACACGCCAGGAAACCTGGACCTGCCACAGCACACATCGTGAAAATCCCGGGGTGCTTGTTCTGGCCAAGGTGACCTGGCCAGCACACGGCGTGCCATCCAGGTGCGGTGCCATCCACAGCGATTGTCACTCCGTTGCGGAGTCGTTGTCTCGAAGCCATGCACAGGTCGTTGGAGTGGGCGCATGTGATGGTCCTTGTAAAAGTGTTGCAATTGACAGTGGTTCGAGAAATTGGATCATTCCCCCTAAAGAATCACCCGGGTGGGCATTGCCTGTTTTTTAGGCACAGCTTCGGCGATAGCCAGTCATATATAATTTGGCCTTGTTAGTCTGAGTTGGTTCCCCCGTGGGCTCAGTTGAGCAGAGCCCTTTTTTTAAATAGATGTAAATATTTATATAAGGGTTAACCTGTAAATGGTTGGATGTAGGCATTCTGCTTGGGGGCGTAGGCATGTTTTTCATTTGTTTTGTGGCAGAAGCCGCGTAGGCGACGCATTTCCCAGTCAAGAAGAGTCATACAGGAAGACTTTAATAAGTATGACTTCTCAATATTTCAAATGCTACCTGGATAGGAGTAGGCAAGATATTAGCAAAACCAACATGCAGTAGGCGTAGGTACAGCGTAGGCGAAAAGTAGGGTAGGCGTAGGCGAAAACTGGTGCGGGAAGACTTTGCCCCAGACATGGCTAAGTGAAGGTTTGGAACTCTTCGTCGTTAGTAGGCGCCATGGCTAAGAAGGAACCCAATAGACGAAAACAGCGAAAAGCTTCCAAAACTGTAGCCGCGTAGGCAAAACCATTCAGTGATTAACAAAAACTCCACGCGCGTAGACCTGCGCGGAGGCCAAAACTGTGAGCGCGTAGACTGAAAGTAGGCTTGGTGTAGGCACCAAAAAATAACAATCTTACATCAGTTAAAAAAACAACTCAGTTTGGGGATTTCCCCCTCCGCTGAACTGCCTTGTTGCAGGAGAACGATTTAGCTGCCAGTGGGGCCCCTGGAAGTGCACGCCTGGATACCATCCACGTGCACCTAGTGATTTAGTGGAAATCTAGTGATGCAATTTCACCCAATGTCAGGGTCAGAGGTGTGAAATCAAGCAGAGTCGTGATGGCCCTCGTCTCTGGGGCTTCAATTTCCCATCGAGCTCCAGAAACTTTTTTTTGGTTGATTTTTGCCTTTTCACGTTGGTGGGCTAGAATCCAAAAACCTCCCCAACAACAGGTTTTTGTCTGTTGTTTATTCTTAATGGAGGGCCCTATCCTCCCATTCTTCAACGCACATCCTCAGACTTTGCCCGTGGCCCGTGTGTTTGGCCGATTGAAGTGTCCAGTTGATTGAGGTGAGAAGAAGGAGGTGCCTTCCCAAGCCTTTGGTGTTGGGTTCTGCTTGCTTGTGAATGGGCTCAAGCGTTTGGCTTTGTAAGATAGTTGAAAGGCCGCTTTATCGTAGCGATTTCTTCTTCATTGCTGCCTCGCATGTTGAACTTTTCGCCACTTGCAATGTGAGATAGAACCGCTGGCTGATACATAAATATCCTTAGCAAGAGCTCTAGTTTAAACACGCAGCTTTTGTTGCACTTTTTCTTGCAACAGTATCTAAAAGCCACGGTTTCAGTGGTTTGCCCGCGGATGCATGGCAACCTGGCCAAATCAGCAAACCTTGGAATGATCAGGATAGAAAAGCAGGGTGCCTAGGCGGCACCAGTCTCAAGTGCATTAGATCATTAGAGGCCTTACACTTCAAGCATTCCTAGTCATACACACATATAATACACAAATCATCCGAAACAGCAAAACCGAGAAACAGCCGATTTCTTCTTGTGAATTTATGCCATTCAGGTTGCAAAAGACGTTGTTTCATGTTTGTGATGTCCAACATAGTCAACAGAGGGTTCCATCGCATTTTAGGCTTGTAGAACATTCTTTTCACTCCTGTGGAATGGACGGCTGGGTGCTTCCCTCTGCATATTACACAGCTGTAGTGGATGAGAACACAAATGCGGCAATCCGCCATAAAGCTGCAAACCCGAACCTTCGCCCAGCCACCTCCACTCAAACCCAGAAACATTGGTTTTGATCACTTTACGCCATTTTAAGGGGTCTTTTGGACATTCAAACTTGGGAGAAGCCCCTGCTTTGGAACTTTGGTTTGTGATGGTTTGTGCAGGTCTTTGCAAAAGTCCTATCCAGCGCTCCGCCCGAAGCCCAGAACTCACAAAGGCTTTCTGCCATGCTTCCAACCGCTATGCCGAATGTCAGGGGCTGTTGTTGCAGGACAGGTCAATGCAAGCCCAGGCAGTTTCTGAGGGGAAACGTGGAGGGCGCCTTGGAGAGCAACAGCAACGAAGGTTGCGACAGACACTGCAAAGCATCCGTGGCTTTTGAGGTTGCAGCCGATCATTTATCAGAGGTGCAGGGTGCTGATCCTCATATGGTCTGAGTTGTGTAAGTATATATATATATATATTAAGTATTTATATATACCAAGGTCTGACTCATGCAAGACAGTTGCCCAAGAACATAGGGGGAGGCGATGCCTTGCAAAGGAACACATTTTTGGTGCACCGCGTGCTGTGCACATCCAGTGCAACATGAATGTTAAGCAAGCAGAATGGATCATCAATTGGAGATGACTTCACATAGCTCGTATGCAGTATGGTTGGTCCATGTTGGTCCACTAGATTTGGCATGATTTGGCGAGACAAGGTGTCGTACCTGAATCAACGGTCTTCGCCTCACTGAGTGGTTTCTCTGGGTCCGCTGACACACTGATCGCGCCAGGGCGCCCTCACCGAGTGGGTGGAACGGCGCCGTGAGGTTGACCGACTGAGGGAGACGGGAGACACGTGGAGATGATCATGCACACCAACTGTTCTGTCGATCCAGTGCAGACATAGTAGACTAGTGGACTTCTATTGCTGGAGATGGGAGCATCTCCCAGGTTCAGTGGTTGGGAAGCATGCCATAAACAGGGCAGATTCATGGCTTCATGATCTGCCAGTTTTGCGTAGAGGCCACCAGTGCAAAACGGGAGCCTCACGCAAACAGAAAAAAAGAGCAGACAAGAAAAGAAACAAAAACTTGTTACTTGTTACATCTTGTTACTAGTAGTAATGCCCTTGCTACTAGTCGTGATGCCCTTGCTACGAGTAGCAGTAATGCCCGGTTCACGGCTCTTCCTCCTCGCTCAGGTTTGTACCATCACCTCGCCACAGCAGTCCACCGCTGTCGCAACCGTCGCAAGCTGCCGGTGGGCCTCCGCGGGTGCAGCAGCCACAGCGGCCGATGACGCAGCCGGTCCAGGGAGTGCCACATCCACAAGCGATGCAGGTGGACAAGGAACTCCGTACAGGGTTGGGATGGGGATAGAGGAGGTTAGAAGACAACTGTGACAGCAGAGTCGTGACTTCCAGCATGGCTTCGGTGTGGTGTAGTTTCATCATGTTTCATCTCACTGCACCAGGACGGGAACTTGCCAGAGCCCTAGGGGCGGATGCTTGATGCTTGGCCTGCGTGGGTCGCAGGATGAGGGGCCCAATTTGATCAACCGACTCTTCCAGAAAGCAGTTTTGTTACAGCTGTGAGTGTCCTCGGATGCAGAAAAAATTCACACAATTTGATTGAAGGTGTCTTCTCCTTCCAACGCACTGGTTTTGTGGGACAAGGACCCCCGCCGAGGCCAAAGCAGCTGTCTTCTGCGCAAGCCATGGCCAATGCTGCCATGAATGCTACAGCAGGGCCCTCACGCGGGTTGGTTGGAAACGGGCTCAAGGTAAGGCAGCTGCCTCAAGAGAAGCTGCTTGGGCAAAGTTACAAAAACGCTGCATCAGGCAGAGCCTGTGAAGGCCTCTTACTTGATGGCTAGCTTGTCCACAGTCTATGTCAAGCGGTGCCGTGGAATGAACTGGTGATTTCAACTGCCGAGGCCAATCTGACACCAGGTATCTCTACGGCGCCTGTGCGCCATGATGTCAAGTCAATGACCCATTCCATCACACGACTACCATCTAGAGAGGGAGGTGTTTTAGTTGGTCTATCTCATCAATAGAGACAGAGAAGGCATTGGCCACTTTGGAAGCTTGGGAAGGCAAGTAGATGAACTGATGAACAACTTTTGGGGGAGGTTCAAGCCAGTTGCCTTTTAAAGAACACTCACCTCGGATCTTTCGTCGAAGACTTGGCCCGGATTGTACATTGTTGAATCATTGTGAAAGCCTGGAGTAGAAAAACCTGGGCACAATACAGCTTTGAGTTCCAAAGCTTGGAGTTCAATCACGAAATAAGCTTGGACATCAAGATCAAGGCCATCGCTAGTAGGTTGGAGGCCATCACTAGAAGGTTGGACGTTAATAAATCCTGCTGGGTGGCTTTCTCCCAAGGTTCCCTGGATCGGTGTCTCCCTCGATCCGACGGCTTGGAACAGGTATTGGGCCTGGGCCGATCGGCGAGCCCTGGAGGTCCACATCGCCATTTCGGGCAAAAACCTTACAGATCCTTACAGTGTTTTTTGTTTTTTTGGTGGTACTTGAGTATTGGTGCCAAAAGGCTCCGGTTTCACATGCCAGGAGAAACAGGTCCTTGATTTGTTCCACTCGAAGTCATGAGTCATCAACATTTGCAGGCGTATTCCCTTTGACCAGCGGCATCCATGCCGTTCCACCTTCATATGGATATCTCGCGACAATCACCAAATACCACCTGGCCGGTAGAGTTGATTCATATTGATGACCATCCATTTCCACAGCTTCCTTTCAATTTCTCATTCTTTTACCTTCCCCCGCCCGTAGTGGAGACCAATGTCAGGCAGACCAGCTCCACCACCACCTATGGTGGTGGCCTCAGACTTTGGTGAAGCAGTCTGGGAAAAGGCCTACGCCGCAAAATGCCTGTGAAACTAGATCCCGCAGATTAACAGAATCGAACAAAGTAACCCGCACTCCAGCCTACATTGCATGTTTCTTGTTTGAACATCTACGTGTAGTAAGGACTTTCACACCCCCAAGCCCCAAACATTCTTCTGCCTGCAAAAACGTTGGTTCCACAGGTTCCACCGTCCAGTTGTTGGAGGTCTCCGTCGGAAGGCCATGTGCACGGCGTAGGTTGCGGCTGCCCAGCGTATGGCATGTGGGCGGAAGAGGGGGGAGACTGAGACCACTGCAACTGGGGGAATGATCCATGTGACAATCCCAACCCCACCTTGTGTTTGTTTCCCTCCTGTCAGGCTCACAGAACCTGCTAGGGGCACTTTTGCAGGTGGGTGCTATGTTTGGTTGTGCTACTGCTAGTGTGTGTTACTGTACTGTAGTTATAGCATGTTATAGCCAGTTGTTGGATATGATATAGATGATTTGTTCGGAATGAGGGCAGGGGTGGGATACGTTCTGCAATTTTCTGCACCAGCTGCCAGCCACCCACCTGGCAATTAGATGGCATTGATATGTGTGTGGCCAGGCCTGCTAGATAGCTAGTTGTGTTGATGGTGCGTTTGCGTTCCATGTTTGCCAACCTTTAGCATCCTTTAGAGAATCAGAAGCAAACACAGTATTTGCCACGCTGGACTGCTGGACCAGTCCTTGAGGCTTGCGAGAGCGACCAGCTGCACAGTCACCCATGAGGAGGCTGCAGGGTTTCACGGGTTGTCCTACACCCGCAGCACTCCAGTCTGCATTGAAAACACCACTTCTTGCCACCACAGGATCCAAAAGTCTAGTTGTGGTTATCCTATTTGGGCGAAAATCCATGTGTTCGAAGTTTGCCGCACAACATGCGAAACTTACAGCTGCTACTCAGCTGTTTCACGTGAGTTTGTAGCACAACCATCTGCTTCACTGAGTATATAGCACGACCGCCTGATGTATTCTGACGGACTGGTGGTTTCAATCAAGCCTGATGATGAGTTTTGTTTGCGATCCCTAATTCACCGGTAGATCTGCATGTATCTACCTCACCGGTCTGGTCCGCATCACTGGGGCAGGGAAGGCTGGCAGTCGCCGGCGCCACGAGGTGGGTTGCGATCCAATGCAGAGTGGTGCGTGTTTAGCAGAGTCCAAACCTCTTTTTGGTGCTTCACCGGTGTCAGATGTGGCGGGAACATGGTGGAACATGGTGGAACATGGTGGAACCTGAAGGCATGCCTTCGCCCAGACAGAGTGGCCTCAACCGCACGCCAGGCCTGCAGTTGGGCTCACACGTCTATTTTTTTTTCCCCATTTGTGTGTTGGCCCAAGAGGGAACCTCTGGTGGTACAGTGGCTTCCAACATCTCAGTCTCTCACACTTCCGAGGAATTTTTCTACGCTGCATAGCACACTTCGGAATATTTCGGACCACTTGTTTCAAGTCCAAAGGATCGGCTCTTTTTGAATCAGAATCCGGGGTATTTTTTAGTTGATTAATCATGCAATATTTGACCCGAAATGGAAGCACATCGATACCCGTTATAGTGCGTTATATAACTCTAAGGCCCATTCACGCCCATTCACATTCGCTGCTTTTGGTGAGCTTGCATGGCAATGCAGATTTGCCAACTGCAAGCTGGCTATGGATGCATCAGCTTACTCAAACACAAACATGTGGCCTTCAAGATGCGACGCAATGTAGCATCGACAATGGCTGGCCCAAAAAACTGATGGCATTCGATAACAGATATCAGATATCATTCATGACTGTTTCATTGTAGATTTTATGCAAGAAGTCAGCTGTATCCCGGTCGCTAGGTTTTGGAAGAACTACAGCATCGCCTTTGTCTGCTGCCACGGGGCTCATTCGTTCTATGCACTCCTGGCCTTTCCGCTTGTTTGGCCTGCAGTGGCACAGGGTCCTGAGATGTCGACCATATCCGTCCTTTTAGCTGATCTTCAGTCCATGGTCACTGAAATCAGAGGAGGCACGCAAGGATCATGTTGGAGCAGCGATGGCCAGATTCACCGGCCACACGCTCAGGCTGGTCGATCGCCCTCCGAAGGCCGCGTGCCAAGCGGGCCCGGAGGCGGGAGCCGGCGATTGGATGTCAGCGAGGGACGTGCACCACTTGTCAGTGGGAGTTGCAAGGGTTTTTTTATATAGACTTTTTTGATAACCCATTAAACAAATCATTATTGATGGTCGGGTACCTTCCTGGTCTGAAGATTTGTTTAGGAGCAATTTTGGAAAGCTGTCGTTTTGAGAACCTATATTAACCAGTGCATTGGTAGTATCAAGATGCAACGAAAGGAATTTTCCTTTGGTGACAACCTGTTTGTTCGTGTTTTGTTGTGTTGCTTGCTGCATGCCTGGGAAGGGGGGTGGTGAGTGCAGCTGGACATGGTTCAGAAGGAACATATAGTTCTTTGTTTCAGAGAAACATAGCAATTCAATTGCATGTTTTCAGAGCATGATTAAATATCAGGATCCAACAATAGCACTATAGATGACACTTTAGACAAACATGGTGGTAAGAAGAATAGTATTTATTTAAACTAATAGCATTATTGATGACACTACTGCTGATCGACATTACTGCACTTCGTATTTGTACGTGGCGAATCAGTGTTGAGAACTTTAAATTAAAGCGTGGTGGCACATGGCTCGGGTTCCCCGTCCGTAGCGCAGCTACATGCTTTGTCAGGCCTTCCTGGCTGGACCGCTGGTGGAGGTCAAGGGCCAAGGTGGTCACTGAAACCCTGAGACGTTCAGCGACCATTTGCCAGCAGCAATCGCGTGCTTGCAACGCAGAATTCTGGCTCAAGGATGCTCAAGGTAGTTCTGGCGACATTGGGCAGAACTGTTATATATATATATATATATTTATATATTGTTTCCAAATTTGAGATCAGTGGGACGGCCGGCAAAGAGCGGCTGGCGGCACAGCGGAGGTAAAGGTGTGTTGAGACTTATGGCGGCTTGAAGGAGTTGCCCACGACGAAGGAGGCAATCTCGGCGCCACCAGCAGTTCGCCTTTGAAGTTCAGGTCCTTGACCGCACGCGAGCGCAGTTACTGCAAGATGGATCTTGGAAAAAGCACAGCACTTGGACGAAGCCAGGTTTTGCTCCTTAGATGTCGGCCTTTGCAATAGCAGTGGAGCTCATCCAGGTGAAGTGGCAAGACAAGGGTGGATATCCATGGTGAAGTAACTTTGGAAGCACCGCACATCAGTGCAATGTGAAGCCTGAAGGCAAAATGGCCGTTGTGAACATGGATGTCTCGCAGGATATCGCTGGAGGAACTCGGTGTATCCAATTCAATTCAGCTGATTCCTCACAGGAAAAGTTCCGGGTGGAAACGCAAGAACGGGCAAGTTGTTTTTCCTCAAACGTAGTATACACGCAATGGTTGCTGAACATTCACTTTTGATGAATGGCCTGTTCCGTGGCCAAGCCCCCCCCAACCAGTGCAAACGCCAGCGCACAAGAGGAAGAATCCTGATGAATGCAGCGAATGTTAGCAATTTTTGCACCTGGTATTTTAAAGTTGTTGCTGTGATAGATCCTGACAGGCTGTTGGCCTTAATTGTTCTTAGCAACCAGTTGCAGTTGCAGTTTGTTCCATGTATCAATCACATACTGTGGTTGAGTTATGGGGCCAAAAATGCAAACCAAAAAGTTTGAAACATGAAATCAACAATCAGGTTGGTGGCTTTAGGACAGAACAGATCAATGTCACCACAGGCCTACCCACCCCAGCCTGACAGAATAAGAGAAAGCAACGCGAGCCCGGAAACACAGGACCAATGGTGCCAACTTTGGTCTCGTCCCTATGCAAAGCAACACCGTGTTCGCATGGGACAGACAGATTCTCTGGTCGTGGTGGACCGGACATCCGCGAGCAGTCAGTGCACACTTGTTGGGCACCGGGGGGAGTTGCGAGCAGTCGGAAGGTCTTCGGGCGCTTGGTGCGGTCTGCGGGCTTGGTGGAAGTTCGGCGTTTCGAATTTTTGAAAAGGTGACGCAACTACAGATACAGAGAACATTTTTGGGATCAAATTGAGGATGCAAATGTGGTCATGTGATATGGCGCAGTGGTGCTTAGGGTGGCTGAGAGGGTGCTCCGCTGTGGTTTGATGGCAAAGGCAGATGGAAGAGGCTTGCGTTATACTTCGCCATGTCGTGAACTTTAGCGAATTTTGTGCGTGTGTGGCCCTTGGTCAAGTGGAGTCCCCCCTCCAATGTGCGCCACCCTGGCTGTTGCACAAAGGTTTCCAAACAGGCAGTGGCTGGTCCCCACAGTGGAGAGCAGGTGCTAAAACGCTAAACAAGGAGTCACGTATTCTTGTACAAGTTTCGATGGCCATTGCAACATCCCTTGCATGAGCAGCTCAGTTGCACCGAGGCTCCTGTGCCAGGTGGGTCGAGGGGGATCTACGCGTAGCGACTGGCTCCGAAATACGCATGCAAATCATCGAGCAATGGTTTGATTTGTTTGGGTGCCCGCCTTGAACAGCAAGTTTGTTGTGCTCGCGTCAGCCTTGTGCCATGCTAGAATTGTCCATGAACATACTTCATAGTAACCTTCTTGAGACCTTTTGACACATAGCCCCCTTGGGCCTGCAGGAGAGACGGGTCGAGACCGGCCCCGCATTCATTCAATTTATGCCTCTCAGTGGCATGCTGGAGGGTTGGAATATATAGACGGAAGGCAGAGTCAGTTGGAAGAGGCTTAAGCTGCAGTTCCCTCATCCATCACAGCAAAGTTCGCAGCTGTCTTGTTACATGCCGAACCCACAAAGTGAATGGAATTTGATGGAATTGCAAGTCGGGACTTGCCCTCTCAAAAGTATGTTCTGTACAGTTATAAATTTGTAAGTTTGTCATGTTTGCCACTGAGGCCGGTCCTCAACTTCCATGAGCAGCCACAATGCATCCTTCTATGCACCTCAGAGTTCCTCGCCGCAGTCGTACCGGTTTGTGTTTTTGTGCGGCGTCGCATGGTATCGACAACCGGTCCGGCGAGTCTTTGGAGGTGCAAGAGGCCGATAAAGAGTTGCTTTTAACCACCACAGGCCAGCGGACACCTTTGCTGTGGAGGGTTCCTGAGCGAAACTATTGGATTATATAATGATTATTGATCAATATTTATTGCCCCCCCCACCTCTACTAGCTGCATGCTAGCAGCTGCTTCGGAACGGTCAATTATACTTTGTTCTTTGTTACGTAGCAGATCGTATGGGTTTTTATTTATGATGTCTGTTGTGGGCACTCAAGTGCATTGAATGCCTCATGGGTACAGTATCACATGGTATCACCCATCAAGAATTCTTCCAAGTTTACTTGTGCAAGTGGCCCAGGTGCCATGGGAGGTGGCGGCTTCAGCACCACACCCGTTCCCGCAGCCTCCTACATCGTTTGGGCCACAATTTGGGGCGGCTGGGTCAGGCGGCAACAGAAGCTACATATATTTTACAGACACACACACACACATATATATATATATAAATAATATATATATATACAACATCTAAATCTAAAAATATGTATGATAGGAATATGATGTATAGTCTTTATACACCTCCCTCTCCGTGCAGCACTCCGCTATCAGATGTGCCTAGGTCGACATCGCAGACCCTGTGGCTAGAGCCCGAGGGTGTTTTCAATCTGCTTCGAAGCAGCTGGTTTGCAGTCTATTGTGTGGCTGCATTTCTTTGGCTGAAGGGTTTGCAGCCAAAACACAACATGCGGTGTACTCAGCATACATGACGTGCTGGCAGCTTGGTTGCTCAGCCTGGTTGTGCATCGGAGACACTCATTCAATCATCCATCTCCCATCACAAGCTTTGGAGGTCAACAAACTGCCACGCCTGTGAACCAGGATCAGATGCTGGGCAGCGCTTTGCGTACCTTGGATGCGGCCGCTGCATCCAAGCTCATGTCACTTGGTTGGACAAAACTCTTATATAACAGCACTATGATGAGGAGTCGCATGTTGGCAAAACAATATTTCTAAAAAATAATCGATTTACGTTCCGGCTCTCAGTGAGAAAGCGGCCTGTCGGGCCGAGCAAACTGCACTCTGCAGGCTTCGTCGTTTGGCGCCGGGGCGCTACGAGATTGACGGACGGAAGGTCTCGGTGCGCCTGCCTGGCTGTGTTTGAAGGTCTTTGGGATGGCTTTTGACCACAGAAAGGCCCGGCTTTTGCACGCCCATCACTGCATCACACACCTTTGCATGCCCCTGTTGCCACTGGAGACTACTAGAGGAGAGTGGCTTTCTGAAGGAAAAGGTGAAAAATCTAAGAATCTAAGGGTTGCATCAATGATATTTCAGATGACGTGTAGCCACATTGCTTTGACATCCCTTTCAAGGGGGTCCTTGGGCATTGACATTCAGACTCAAACTGGTCCTTGCCAGGCTGGTCCGAGCAAGGAGGTCTCATGGTCATCGAGGATGAGGCCAAAGTCATTGGTCATCAGCCTACTTAACGTCCCCTTTGTGCAACAGATTGCAAGTGGCATGAGAGTCATTCTTGCCCGGTTGAATGAACCGTTGCTGGAAAGCATGTTGTTCGTGGGTCGCTGAGCATGCTGAAGCATTCGCGAGGTTCGTGGGTCGCCGATGCCGCTGCTTGGCACAAAGTGAATCCTTTGATGCGCAACGAATTAAAACAATTGAACGACACTGGACACCGGACTGACGGATTGTTTCCACACTGCTTGTAATCAAAAACAACTCGTCAATTGCACAACCAAACGCCCGAAATAATTCAATTCGAGAGACCATGCAGTTTCCAGGCCTGCATGAGAACCTGAGAGAGCGGCGAAGACTCAACGATATCATGCACTGTCATGGCAACGGAATCACCTTGACCTTGGTCACAAACCAAGATATTCCTTGCCCCTCCAGTAAAACAGGGAAGACTGTAGAAACTTTATTGTTAAGCTGTTAAGCTCCGTATTGGATGTTGGAAAAGATCATCTACATGATTTGTTTCACCATTAAGAGAGAACAATACAAAAAGCACCCGTCTTCGGCCGTTTTTGTGCCTTTTCTAGGCTGCCGGCCTATTTGGGCCAAGCTGGCAATGTGGTGGCCTCCCTTACCGGTCACAGAGCCACCTGGCGCTGAACCTCTAGCTATAGCAGCACAGCTGTCTCCATGGTTTGCAAATGGAAATTCGCTCAATCAGTCTTAATGCGATGTTCCTTCTTTTAAGCTGGGGAAAATCCAGCTTTTTAAGCTTCTTATCCATGGTTTGCATGTGAAAAGGTGAGGAAAGACCTTTGTGTGTTGATTTGAACATGTACAGTAAGTATTTGTAATAATCACTATAATTACATGCTCCTGACATGGCCCTTGTGAGACTGAGACTTGCAGGCATGTTTACAAAGCCGTCAGGAGACTCCAACACTGTCAAATGATGCCTGAGAACAAAGCCTCGCAACTCACTTATTCTATGGGCATTTCCCTCACCAGTTGGGGCCCCCCTGTGCACATGTCCTCCTTTTTTGGTGGTTCTTGAAGCCCGGCCTCAGGCGGACATGCCAAAGATTACGCGTGTGCCAAAGAGTCAAAGGTTGACCTTTGACGATGCCAAGGCAAGATTCTATGGAACCCATCGAACCCATGGAATCTCTGAGCTCCTCAAAGCAAACGAACAAGAGCAGCTGGGAAACTGAGGTTATTGTTAATTACTAAAAACATCAAGCCTCCATATTGAGAATCAAAACGCAATCATACAAGACCTTGTTATAAAAATAATACAGCGATATTCCTCTCTCATGGTCCGAGCCATTAGACAAGTAGTTGAACCGGACCAACCGCAACTCCATCCCGCTGGCAGGCCGAGAAAAACTTGGCTGCCCAGATCGAGAAGTTGGGCAGTGAGCCAGCGACTCAGTAGATATCCCGTAAACAGCTTTTGTTGCAAAGTAAAGCCCTACTGTACAAAGTATAAATCACCACTATCCAGTAAATAGAATAGTGTGCTTGGTTTGGCTGCTTCGTTGGTTGTTTGGTTGGTGGAAGAGTGGACCTTTGCTTTATTATGGAAAGATCAGACACTGATGAATTCAATCTATATATTGGGATTGTGTTTCAAGAGTGCAGTTAGTGGACTGTGCCACTGCCACTGTTGTTGTTTCTGAAGGAAGTCATCCTGAATCAGGAGAGTAATTATATAAGCATTGTGCATCATTTTGCCGCCCATTGAAGTTCCCGTTGGTAGATGTTGGTAGGGGTGGTTTCATCATGTTTCATCCTATTTCAACATTTGCCAGTTTTTGGGATTGGGATTCATATAATTTCACAACATTTGGCCCATGTGCGGTTGGCGCGCGACAAATTCGAGTGCCCTGAGGCGTTGCGAGTCCATGCGCTGGGACCGTCAGTGAATGAATTTCAGATTCCACAGCAACAGTCCTCCCACCCACGCCCCAGCCAAGAACACACACCAACAAATCCAACAAGCGGACAGCATCAAACGGGCATCAAACAATATCAAACATCTCTAAACATCTTGGACGAGGTCCGGTCTTTGTTGCCAGACTCCACATTTTCCCTGGTGCTTTCCACCGCACCACGAGGTTTGGCCGTGGAGCAGGCTCGGCTTCGAGAGGAGGCTGCCGAGGCTTACGAGCCACTGGCGCGGCAGAGGGACGACGGGGGATACGGGGCCACTGGGCGCCGGGGAAAGAATGAGACATCGATGGGTCGAAGCACGAGACATCGAAATCTTGACCCCAGGACCTGGGGGCGGGCACATGTTTCTTGGCACATCCTCAAGGGCATCCGGATTTCGAGCCCTGCAAGTGGTCACCAAGCAGTGTACACCTGCAGCCAGCTTGTTGGCGGCGTATGCCAGGGTAGAAGAAAGATGCCAAGCAAGAAAAATTGACAGATCATACAGATCACAGGCATGTCACGATTGGACTCTCGGACTGTTCTCTCATGTTCGGCAGCCAAGGAAGCTCACTCAAGGATTCGCTCCCAGCCGCATGTTGCGACCATCGCCGGTTCGCACAAGCTTGTGAGAGCTGAGCAGCTGGCCAGACAGAACCGATCCCAGTTAGAACCCTTTCAGTTCACAGGTGTTTCCTGGCATTGGCCCGTTGCGGCACAGCATCCGGACCAGCGGAGTTGCGGCCTTTTTGTTTAACATGGTGGTCAGCATGTTCTGGTTGATTCCTTCCGATGAATGGCACACCATATGGCACACCCAGCTTATGACAAGATTCAACAGCCACTCAAGTTAGTTGCTCAGTGGAAGAGGCACTCTTTCGTACACTATAATGACATCCCTGTGCAAACTGCTTGTGCAGATATACAAAAACTGGGGATGTGTGCACAACAATTCGCGCAGGGCCGCTCAGATCTCGTCAGTGAACTCGAAAGGATCCGAACGGTTTATTTGCTCAAGCAGAGATGGAGTACAGGTGTTGCAAAGGTGACTTTGCTCAATATTCAACATTGGATTTGGTAGGTGCAATTCACACTGCAACCTCCCTGGACGGAGCTGAATCAATGCCTTGGCTGCCTTGACCGAGTCAAAGCTTTCTGCATCAACATGAGTCTGTCGATGCCGTCTGTCGAGATTTGCACGCCCTGTCCGCTAGCTTCGTTTTTTAGTCATGGTATGCCATTCTTGCATCCTTGGAAGTGCAAACCATGCCAAGTTGAACATGTTTTCGCCTTTGGAATGCTGGGGGCCTGCCAGGATTATGAATAGTTACTGCAAAAGGCCAGCGCCAAAAAGATACACTTGCTCGATCTCACACTGACATTCAAAATCCGCATTGCAAGTAAGGGAGACGATGGACGCACTCTCTTATTGTAGTTTAAAAACCGCCAATGAACTCCAATTGAAGGGATCCTGAAGTCGTTGACATTTTGCATGTTCTAGATTGTACAATTGTAATTGCATTACAGTAGATATCGGGCGGGCATGAAAATATCACCTGTTCACATTGTGGTGTGATAGTGCAATGTATCGATCCTTTTGCTGGGCATGTCAATCCCGTCTTCCAAGCCCTGTGTACCAAACCGCTATTCAAATTCCAAGTCAAGCGTATGTCAAGTGGTTATGAAGAGATCATCCCATGCTCAGCAATATGTGATCGCCATCGCCAAGTAGCCCCCTTCGACTGGGATGTCAGATGTTTGTTTATCAATGAAGCCCAGTTGTCAATAAGTTGTCATGTTTTTGGGACAATGACACATGAGTGAAACATGTGACCGTTCACAGAGCATCATGCCAACCACTACCATTTCCGATGTCTAAAGTTTCACGTGCAAGTGTAGAAATCTTGATCAATACCGTATTACATCGTATTACCCTCAAATCTCTTACCTCGAAGGTTGCGTCGATTGGTTTGAACAGTGGTAGTTCTGTTCCTGTGGATTTCGTCGCTGCTCAAGAGTAGCTGGAAGGAGAGTCGGTGGGTCGAATCGCGCGCTTTTGTCCGCGCCGGCTGTGGCAATGCCACGGCAGGTGGACGAAACGACTCGGGTCGCGGAGGGTCTCATTCCTCACTTGTCACATTTGCGTGTTTTTTCCTGCCTGTGCTTCTGGAGCGACACGTGCTGGCTGCGTTTTGTGAGCGATGTATTATGGCATAGTGGCCTTCTCTTTCTCTCATTCATGTCTTGCTCCAGCCTTGCTGTGCAAGAAAGTAGGCAACAAAAAGGAGATTACAGACTCGGTCGGTCCTTTTTTTGGCGGATCTCCCTTCTCCATTCGCCAGATGCCGCCCGCGGCACGGAAACTCCTGGGTGCCGTACTGGTCGCACTCCTGGGAGTGGCTGCAGGGGCCGTCAGGAACCGTGCCGCGGTGGAGCTGTGGAGCGAAAGATTCGATGGAAGGAAGGTGTATCCCACCAGTAGTAGTTGGTTGAAACTAGTATAAAATCGATAAACAAATCTATTTGATAGAAAGGTCAGGAAAGTGTGAGCATCCAGGATTGCGCATGGCGCATGATGGTGCCAAGTGTGCACGGGCAACATGTCGTGGCCTCTTCCAGACTCAGCCTGAGCCTCAGGCGCTGAATACCTATCTCCTGAAGTTCCGGGAAGGAAAGTTCCGCCCTCAGATGTTCAAAGCAAAAAAGGGCCAATCTATAGAAGCATAGCATACCCGCTTTTGACCGCTAGAAAGTTGAGGTCCAGATGCTAAGTCGAGTGCACTGTTGCACACTCGACTTCCACATTTTTGCGTATGTTCCCAGGCGCGGCACTACGGTCTCGCATCCAAACCTGGTCTTTATGAGAGCCAGGGACGGGCGGGAGGCGGACATTTGGGAGTGCACCCATTGCCAACATAAAATATATATTGTATTCAGCTGGAAGCTGTAAGGAAGCCATTCCCGCCAGCAACCGCTTCATTTTCGTCTTCACTTCATAAGTGCCTCCGCAATCAAAACGCGTGTCATGCTGCGAGTTCGGAATCAGGTTCTTCTGATTGGCACCGTGCCCGTGGACCTCGACGAGGTGAATCAACTCCGCGCGGAGTGAGTCTTCCGCGTCTCGATGCGAACAGAAGTCGCGGGTGCTAGAAGCGGAAGGGGTGTGCTCGAAGTGGACCTGTGGCATGGGACGAACTTCCGGCAATCAACCTGGCTTCGAACATAAAAATTGGAACATATTGGAACATGGTTCGACGGTTTACCAGCAGGTATTGGGTGAAGAGGCTAATTTGTAACACCATTTGTCACACCTGGACTTCCACAGGCTTCCCAAGACTCAAGGGGTTCCTAGATGATTTTTGTAATTTAGACGTCTTAGACTGCGTGAACTTAACATTTAAGGACCAGAAGTGAGTGTCAACTGAAACTTGGATTCATGATGTTTCCAACATACTTCTGTATTATGTATGATGTTGAACTTGATGGCCCGATTCTCCCTTGGCCACGCTCGGCGACTGGCTGCAGGAGTCGTCACGCTTGGTGCGAGATGCCCTGAATGCTTTGCAGCCAGAGGCCGGTTTGACTCACGCAGTTTGATTCACCTGGTGAGCAAGTGACGTCTTTGCGGATCAAAGAACGAAGCCGAAAGAGGACGGCTGCGGGAAGTTCGGGAATCGTGCTCTTGGCTTGGGCACAGCTCCACGATGCTGGTGCGAGGGTCGTTTTGGTCTTTTTTTGGACACCGGACACCATGTAAGGCACTTGTCTCCGAAAATGGTGGGTTTGTGGGATGTGGAGGTTTAGTTATAGTTATTTATCAAGATGTACTGCAGCATTTCATTTAAGTTAAGCTTCATGTTGACCAACTTCAATGGTGCATTTATATCGTGTCACTTGAGACTCCATAAACACGCATGGGACAGCGAACCAAGCCGGATGTCCCACCCTGATCTAGACCAGGACTAGGTGACTAGGCACAATCAGCATCTTGTGAGCCTGACTTCAACCCCATTTTGCTGGACTCATGCTCAGCTAGCCTGGGCAGGTTGTGATGTTGGAGGGCACACCGTGCGGAAATCCCAGAGCCCAGGCATTCGGCGGTGCTTTTCGGAAAGCCCATGCATTTGTGTGATTTGTGTCGCCATTTGGGCAGGATTGGGTGACCTCAGGGACCCTGGTGGCTGAGGTTGGCAGGAGTTCAAGCCATGATGTCATCAGGACGCTTGAGACTCAGCATGGGGAGAGGTGGCTTATGGCACAGTGTCTTGGATGCGAAGTGGACCATTCGGGCCATTCCGCAGAATTGAGACGAGTTAACCAGTGTAGATTTAATTTAATCATATCTTTCGAGAGGCACTTCAATCATCTTCTATCGTGAATCAGACCTACAGTATTACATTCCTACATTGCACGGAGAACACTTGAGAACAACTCCTCGGTCTTCAAGCAAATTCCCTGTCCATCCTTTTCCACTGCGGAGCTTTCTCCAAGGTTGGGAGATGCAAGGCCTTCAAAAGCCCAATGGCAGGGAGCCTCGCGGAGACTACACCGGCGAAACTGTTTGAGCAGGTTTCGCGCGTGTCAGCGGAAGATGGTGGTCTAACTCGGCACGATGGTTTGCCGAATTCTTAATATCATTGACTTCGTGGTTTGCCGGGTGCCGTATTTGTCCTTCACTCCTGCTTGGTTCCCGGGGCCCCTAGAGGAAATGACACGACCAACAACATACAGAGCAACCGAAGCCATGAAAAGAAAAACCATGAACCTGCCGCGAACACGCTGAACACCCTGGTTCTGCTTGACAGAGATGTTCAGACTGCTTCCTGAGCCGGGTTGTCCAGTTGGACGTCGGTCCGACCGGCCAAGATACAGACTGGATGCACATGGATCCTGAGCCTGTAGAAATTCGAGAAGCGCCGAAGAAACGCCGCTTCTTGCCGTTCCTCTCAGGCACAGGTGACATCAGTGACAGAGACTTGTGAGGTTTCCTTCCGCTGAAACATGTAAACCACAAGAAGCAGTTTTGAAGAAGGTGATTTTCACTAGCGTTGGCCTACCAGATTTCTATAGAGGGAACTGTCGGGTCTGGCTATATTCCACCGAGTTTTCCATGGATATGTTGATAAATTTTGGTAGTAATTTAATCTTCTCAATGTAGTTCAAGTTTGCTGTATATATAATATAACAAATATATACTGTATATATATAGTATGATATAATGTAACACAATATAGTATATAGGTTGTGCCTCCTTTGTGCTCTGGCAAACCAACGGCTCTCCTGTCAGATCGGGCTTGGCCAGTTCTCAATGTTTGATGTCCCAGTTACACGACGCAGGACCACCCGCCGTGCCAGAGAGATCCAAGGTGCCGATGAAGGCCGTGGAAGTGCTGCGCTGATGTCGTTGGAAGCGAGATGTCTTGGGGTTGTGAAACAAACAACGGATCTGAGAAGTGCATGGACGATGGCACTGGGCTCAGATCAGGGTTATTCATGTCTCCCATGTGGTGGGAGACATTGTGACACGAGCCGATGGTGCTGGGGAAGTTCATCGTTGGATCGGAATGGGATCGTGCCAAGTTGGCTGTCTCAACGCCAGATCTACAGATCAAGAACATGGACATATTGTAACGTTATGCAACAATCAAATCCACTTTCGGATGAATTATACACATTACAAGAAGACGCCGTAAAGCCCCTCAAATGCATCCAAATGCAACATGTATATAGAACAAATGTAAGGTCCTCACCCCATGTTTCTTGGAGAACGCAGCATCAATGCGGATCACTGCCATCACTCAGCAAAGGGTCGCAACTTCCATCCGACTTGGCAGGTCTCGTTTTGGGCCTACCACCTCACTAGCGCGGTGGGCGGAAACATCGCCGCTGCCGCCAGGGCCAAAGGTTCAACAGGAAAAAATGCAGAAGTGCTGAGAGGAATCAAGATGTCAATTGCCACATGTGGCCATTCATTGTACACAGCAAGTTTGTGCATTTATAACTGACTCTAATTGAAGCATATTGAAGCTTCAGAAGTGTCGACCTTGACTTGGAATTTGTGAATTGAGACGAAGAGACGCTTCCAGCAGCACTCCGCAGCTCCTGGAAGCTCCACCGTCGGCCATCGCAGTGGTTCCGTGCTCCGATCGCTAGTCATGGCTCTGGCCCCTGCCTTTACCGTGGTCTCTCCTTCTGTGACTGCCCCTCACGTGGTGAATTTGGAGCACACTGCAAGGAGTGGCCCTTCTGCTAGCGGATTGGCTTCCACTAGCGCAGGTGCAGTGGGTCCATGATTCAGTGGTCAGTCACGGATGTTACATATGATTGCATGGAGGCTCGGAGAAGGCAGCACACTGGCGGGCCTAATTAAACAAAGCAGCTAGCAAACTGTGTTTTATGAACAGAGATCCAGCTGCTGTGAGGAAACATGTCAGAGATTGTGCGGGCCTTGTTTGCCCGCACCTAGTGACGGTGAGTTGAATTTCTCACGCGCTTCACTTGTCAAGGCATGTCCAGTATTTCATCACAACTTGTTTCCCTGTCCTGCTTGCACATGCGTAGCAAGCCCTATCCAAACTGATTCTGCCTCCTGCTGTATGTGTCGATTTTTGCGGGAACCCATCCCGTCAGCACTTCTTAGAACAAATCTATACAAATCTGGTAGGGAGGGCCGGTGGGGTGTACACTTCCTGAAACATGTGCATATTTTGCCCGTCCACAGCCGTGCAACGTTTCACCATGGCATTGCTGCCCATCATTCCCTTGCAGGTGCAGCTTTGGCAGTTGCTGGCTTGGCCACAGCCGCGAGCGTGCGCAAGACACGGAATCCGCGCCGCTCTAAGGGATCTGTGATGGTTGGCAACGCCAATGCCGCAGAGCCGGAGTACTTCGGCAGCACCTGGAACACCTTGCGACTGAAAGACCACAGCAAAGCAAGGTTCTTTAGTTTAGATATGTTTAGATGATGCGAGGTGTGATGAAAGTATTGCATCATTACATCAATCGCTTTGCTGCCCTTGGGGCTTGCTATTTTATGCACAGACGATAGCCGATAGCCAAGGTCCTACTACCGTGACCACCTGGTGGCTTGCCGTGCGCAACTGAACGGCGTGGATGCGCCTACCCCTGAGGAGACTGACAAGCACATGGAAGGCATCCAAGCCTTTGCCAAGCAGGCCCTTGCTGGCGCCTCGGCCGCCATGCTTTTCACCAGCTCAATGGAGGCAGCCGTTGCGTACCCGATCTTTGCGCAGCAGAACTACGCAAACCCTCGTGAGTACACTGGAAAGATCGTGTGCGCCAACTGCCATTTGGCCAGCAAGACTATCGATGCGAAGCTTCCCCAGGCAGTACTCCCAGACACCATCTTCAAGATGGAGATCGAAGTGCCTGCCAAGTATGCCAAGCGCCGCCAGCCTTTGGCTGATGGCTCCAAGGGCCCCATGAACATTGGTGCCATTGCCGTGATGCCTGAGGGCTGGAAGTTGGCTCCCAAGGATCGCCTTCCCAAGCCTTTGAAGAAGGAGATGAAGGGCCTGGCCTGGGCACCTTACAGCAAGGACTGGGGCCAGCAATCAGTGACCGGCATTTGTGCATAGTGGTTGAAGAATGCAACATATGTATGCCTGCCACACCAAGGCTAATCCTCGTATACTTGGGAAGGGCACGCACCCTCACAGCACCAGCTTGCTCCCAAGACTCGAGGTAGCCAAGAACTGACACCCTCAGCATGGACCGTTCAGACAGATGTTCTTATCGTGTTTCATTCATCTATTGCCGTGATCTCACATTCAAAAGGACTAAACATTCAGAAGGAAGGGACTTTCAACTAGCTTGAACACTTGAATCCTTGTACTTGACAGGAGTATCCCAACATCGTGGTGGCTGGCCCAGTGCCAGGCAAGACCTTCACTGAGGTTGATGTTTCATTTTGGCAGGCTTGAGCTGACTTGATGAGATGTAAGATGAGTTTGCCCTGGATTTGCTTTGATCCATGCAAGTTCTGGCGGATCCGCAGGAGAGACTTACGAGAAGATGGTCCTCCCAGTGCTCTCACCTGATCCCAACACTGATGAGACTCGTCTCAGACATCAATCGTGAGTGATCATGCATGGTGCATGGATATACCTGGCCTCAGTTTAAGACATGCAGACCCAGACGCAGGAGTTGGGAAGATTGTTTCCCATATTGCAGGTTTTGTTTTGTATGGATAGCTTTCGCATGCTTTGGCACATTTTCGCTAGGTCTTGTTAAAAAGGCTCGTTGCTAGAGGGCTTTCGTCACCCACCTCAGGACAAGATCCTGTTTGGCAAGGGCATCTTCTACTTCGGTGGAAATCGCGGACGTGGACAGGTGCGACTGGGCCAATCGAAGCTGAGAAGCCGAGCCGTGCCGTCGCGGTGCTTTCGATCCGTGCCGTCTCCGGAGCTGTTCAGAACTTCTCTTTTAATGAGCTGGAGGGTGCCTCAGAGGGTATCCCACACAGGATTGAAGCCCTCGGAACTTCCCATGTCTTTGTATGTTTTTGTTATGTCATGATGATCATGTTATTTCAGACCTTGACTGGTGGAGATATGTGCAGGTCTACCCTGAGGGCAATCAGAGCAACAACAACCAATTCCTTGCTGCTGCGACCGGCACCATCTCAGCGATTGATGGCCTCAAAGTGGCTCGGATTTTCAGAAGTCAGCACCGGATGTTCTTAGAGCATCATCATGACTACTGCACAAGGCCCTGAAATAATCATGGAAGTGGAAAATACACACCGGTGGTTTTCCACATCCATATTGGTGACTCAGAGGGTAAGGACTCTTTCTGTGACATGAGCAGCACCTTCGGGTTGGTTTCTCCACAGTTTGGAGTCCAACGAGTCAAACCGGCTACAGTTTGGTCGGTTCGGTTGCTGAGGTGAGCATCACGACCCCCAGCGGAGAGGTCAAGACCCAGGAGTGCTTGATTGGCGCTGACATCGTGGTTCAGGCACCGGTGGACGCTGCGTCCACCGCAGCTGCACTGCAGCGCATGCAAATGAACCTGTGAGAAACTGAGAAACAGGTGGACGTCGGGGTATGACATAATTATCCCAGAGAACTTGACCCTTTTAAAAGTGGATGCCCCACAAGCTTGCACACATAGTCGAGTTTCAGAGTTAGCAACCATGTGGCAAGGCAGAGTTTCAGCTCCTTTTGAGCTGTCAGGAATGGAGCACTTTTTCATGGGACCACACGATCATCACCTGGTCAATGAACGACGGTTTCTGCTCCAGGTGGGTGACGAGGTCACCAAGGATGAGCCCATCACCACAAACCCCAACGTCGGTGGCTTCGGGCAGGCAGACATCGGACGTTGAAGCATGAATCTTAAAGATGTATGTATATAACTATGTATATATATAAGTATACATATATATATATATATAATGTATTCACAGTAAATATGAAGTCTCATATTGAATGGCAAGATACCTGTAGGGGGATGGATGGCCATGGGCAAGGGCCTGTTGAATTTTTTGATTAGTCATCTTTGTGTTTCAAACTCATGATTTTCAGCACGGAATGTGTTTTTTCTCTCCCACGGCCTGATCACAGCAGCTGCGACCCAGAGTGTGGTTCTAAGCAATTCTTTGATACGGTGCAACAAAGCAGTAAGGGTAGAGCAAGGGTTGGTTGCGGCCTGGCAAGCCCAGAATTCTGGATTTGTTTCAAGAGTCAACTGGGTGCTTTGTACAATCAGGAAAGCTATGTACGTTCTCATGAACGCAGGTTATCAGAAATCGGATGTGCATTGTAAATTGGGTTGTAGGATGAGTGGGCTGTAGCAAGTGCGCATAGAACGTAAGGACAAGGAGCATCATGTCCAATGTGAACACCTGCATGGTGCATTTTTACGCCACTTCTGCCGCTTCCTAACGCAACATGCCTTCAGGAGGAGAAGGAGTGCGTCTTGCAGGACATGAACCGCGTTTACGCCTACTGCGCCTTCGCATTTTCCTGCTTCATTGCCCAGCTCAGCTTTGTACTGAAGAAGATGCTTTGCAAAATCTTCGGTTTGCTTCCGGTTCTGTTGGGCATTCATTCCATGAAACTTTGGGCATGAAACACGAACATCTTGCCAATCGTTGGAGTCAGGCGGTTCTCCGCGAAGGGCACACAAGCACGGACAGATCACAGAAAGCTATGCGACGGGAGCAATGCCTTTGTAATCCTTTGTGTACATCATATATCTGAGGGACTGATGTAATAAAAAATTATGCTTGATGTCGTGGCTGTCAACGTACAGAGGATGCTCAATGTGTTTTAGAATGGTATATGTGCGGATAATAGATTTGCATGTCATTACCGCGTGTGGTGTGGATAGATTGGAGTGTTTGCCCGCAAAGCTTGTTTGTTCGTGTATGCTCTTTGTCATTGCAAGTAGAGCTGAAGGCCCCCTTCTTTTAGTTTGACAATGTTGGACCACTGGACAGCAATGGGGCAATCGTTTCCCAGCTTCCCTTTGTACGTAGACCAAGGCGGCTAAGGGCATCTCCCCGACTCAATCTGTCGTGCTGCCCTGCCCCTGAGTCGACGCGAGCCGGATCCGCGCGAGACTTGTGCGAGACTCGACACCTCGGGAGCCCAGGAAGCAGTTTGAGAAGGTCCAACTGGCGGAGGGCTTCTGAGTTGCGCCAGCAACGGCTCTGAAACATGAAGCTTATTGCTCCGAATGGATGCAAATGCCAAGAAGAGCTTGCGTAAAGCATTGATGGCATTGATACTGATAGTCTAAAACGGTCTAGATAAAGAGGCTTGGTTGTTTTGTTGGTATCATTTTTGGTCCCTGCGTGCGTGTATTTGGTCATTTATGGCCTGAAATACCTCAAACGCACCTCCTGTGTTCCTCACATAATGCTCCCCTTGTACCTCCGTTTTCGAATTGCATACGGGTACTAGGCCAACCTTGAGCTACCAGCTGACAAGCATTCCATCCATCCTTCTAAAATCTTCTAAGCATGTGCATGTTTTGGTGTTAAAGAGTGTTTGCGTTTGATAACACAAGCCACTAGGAGCAAGAAGCTACTAGTTACTAGGGGCTCCTAGCATCGCTACTAGGCACAAGAAGCTAGTTTGGGCTCCTGGCCTTACTACTAGGAGCAAGGACGCTACCAGTACAAAAAAACTTGAGACTTTTTGAGACCGATGCTGGCACGCGTCCGTGCACTGGCCGTGCACCGCCGCGCGGCGCGCCCAATGGTTTGGGCTTCAGTTCTTCATGCACGAAATGCCCTGCACGGCATCGTGTGCGGACCAAAACGTGGTGCAGGGATGTTGTTCTTTTTGATCTTTACGAGATGCTGGCCATTCAACAGCTCTCAAGGACTGCAGGTGCTTGTGCACCCAGCCCACTCCAAGTGGCAGAGTTCAGCAGACTTACTGCGTTCGCTGTTCGATGCTTCCCGAGTTGGCCGGGGGCCTTTTCGAGGTCACTGCAGCTGCAAGTCAAGGAGTTCCTGTTCGCTTTTTAGGCTCCAAAGACAGTGGCGTCATGCAGGGCTACCAGCAGGTGGGCATGGGTGGGGGAATGAGTGCACCTGAGGAGAAATCGATGAGCTGAAGCTAAAGAACCTTTCTAGCAAGTGCTTTCATGTTTGTGTTCGTCCCCGCCACTAAATGCTTCAGGGATGTCTTTCCGCAAGTACGTGTTAAAAACACCCTCACTCCGACGGCTTGTGCCCTCAGAGTAGACATTTGTAAGTCAAGTTGTAGTTGTCAGGGTATCCTTGTAAGGCGGATGTTACGTTGGTACATTTTATGGTGTTATGGTTAAGTTTCAATCCTTGCCGCGTTTTAGCTGGAGCTGACTTACTTAAGTGGGGCTCGCACCAGCGCATCATTAGCTTGTCCACGAATGCTAATGTTAGTTATTGACAGGAGCTTGGGTCACAACCACATGTCAAACTAACCTACTCACCTACTCTTTTTTGCTGACATTCATACATATTGCCTGAAGCTCTACTCACCTTTTGCTGATCGCGAATTACTTGGCATCATGATTTATTTGCCAATGTGAGTGACTGCACGTTCTTCAACTACATTCAACGGAAGTGGTGAACGGTCCAAGGGTCCAAGGGTAGCGCATGGTTTGAGCAGGCCTCGTACTTGGACCTTCAGCATCAATGCCTTGATCTTGGCTCAACCCACATAGCTTCGCAAACAAGTGCGCCAGGAACATTAGGAGTGGACGTGTGCAGGAAACAAGAGAGACCTACAATGACCTACAGACAAAGAGGCCACGCAATTTGAGAGCATCACTCTGAAGGAAGACTGCAATCCATTCGCTCATTTGAAGCAGGAAGACGGTACGGCGGTACCAGGTCATGGGAGCATGCTGCAACAAACAGAGTGTGGCCGGGCTGCAATGGACCGGTAATGGAGATGGTGGGAATGACGCCGTTGGGCAGATGAAAGTGGGAGGGAGAAAGTCCATGGTCTGGCAATAGGCAACGGAGCAGCTTCCAAAGTGAGTTTGCCATGCTGCTCGTACTATAAGTATGTGACATGCTATCATAGAAAGTTACACCTACTACATCCATCTACATCCTACTTACTGAGAGGGTGTACGAAATCAGTCGGTTACACTTGAAACCTGGCACCAAGGGTGTCAGATCTGCCAACCTGATCGCTGTGTTCGCCCCACGCCCCCCAAGGCTTTGCATCGGAACGTGTCCTTGAGGGCCAAGGAGTGCAGCCGCTGGACAAAAGATCCCAAGCCGTTTTGCCCTCGAACGCGATGGTCAATGTTTGCTTTGGCCAGTGGATTTCGGGAGCATTATACCGTATTCCTGATGTTTGAGCCATACTTCTTACTTCTTAGTGGAGCATGGTGGAGCAATATTCTGTGGCACGAAAGGCCTGTACAATGTACGTTTCCATAATGCTCAATATGTTTCAATCGTTGGTCACCTCTCACTCACGGGCCGTTTCTCAGTAGAATCTGAAAATCCTCGAGGCCAGATAATTAGTCAGATAGTGTAAGATACAGTAGCTATTCACAGTCAGCTTGCGCCGCCTAACATGGGCCGTGCCACTACCGGACTCGAAACTCGTCGCGCTATTCCTAGTCAGCTGTAGAACCAGAGGACAGTATCACGGCATTTAGGAACAAGTCTCTTACAATACACGGCTTTTCCTCACACCATAATATGTTAGAGCAATGTCAGACAGACAGTGCCTGTGCCGCACGCACATCCTGCAAATCCTGTGGCGCCCGAATTGTGTTGAAGGTTCCCCAGGTTCCCCCCTTGTCAGCGCATGAACTTGAGATGTTAAGATGAGTTTTGTTTTTCCCCTTGCTGGGTCCAAGAATCCAACATTCTCAGAATGGGGGAGGTCAACATAGGTCAACCTTCCAAGACTTTCCGACACCGCCCCCGGCCCTCCCCGAGGCCATGGGAGCGAACGGCCCCGGTCGGGTCCGGTGGATTTGCCGCCGGCGCTGCTGGGCGTGGAGACCCCGCAGGTGCCGGGCGACGTCTCGCTCGCAGCTGGGCGTTTCAGCGGCCCAGGGTGGGCCGAAGCCTTGGGCCGTTTTTGTGACCTTCTTTGGGACCAAAATGATTCTGCTGGAATGTGTGTTCGCCTGGTGGTTTTGCCCGCTTCCAGCGCCGCGAGAGGAAGCTTGAAGTCCTCATTCTCCCATATATCTCCCCAGCACCACTTCGCATGCCCAAATGCAAAGCAGTGTGTTTCTCACGAGTCCTACTTTAAGTGGAACAGGAGTCCTTGATGCAGCGCCCAGTCGTTTTCGAGACGGACGGTCCTTCACCATTCTGCACGCTTCAAACATGACACGATACTTTGAGTAGGGGCTCCTGGCCTTACTACTAGTAACAAGAAGCTACTAGTAGCTTGTTGTTACTATTAGCCCTGGCCTCCAACCGAAGCGATTAAGATACCAAGCCGATCCAAGCCGGCTGGTGGGTCTGGTACTGCCGTGGTCCTCAAACACCTCAAACTCCTCCGGCGTGCTGACACGATCGTCTTCCTGGCCATGACGCCAAGGCTGGCACACTGTCCAATTGCACCATTGTGGAACTGGCGAAGCGCTACAAAGCCTGGCTCTATTTGAATCCCAAGGGCCTTAGCCAGATCCTCAAACGTGTGAGTTGAGCTGTGTCATCCAAGGTGATATGGGCATTCTGAAAGGCATGTGACATCATGTGACGCAAGCAATGAAGCTCCTCAACAGCTCCACAAAATATAGTTTCTTCGTTCCCATGTGACTGATACATTGAATTTCAAGGCCGCCTCCTCTTTCAGCCCGAAGTGGATGGGGGTGTGAAATGGTTTGAACGCCTACCTGCTATTTGCTCGGGCTTGGTTGCAGTTTCGGACTTAAAGATGTTTGACGTGATACCCTGCGATCGAAAGCGACCGAGGCTCTCACTTCGTCTCGGGGCCTCGTCACTCGGCTGGTTCAGTGGATGAAAGCAGTTGTAGATCACTCATCCAGAACATTGGGCGCAAAAGCTCTGAACATGAGAAAAAACTCAACCAGTACTAGGGCCCAGCCCTCCTTGCACCACCTCCCCATAATCATTGATGACTGCACCCTTACTCATGAAAAGACTTGGTTTGAACATATATCTAAGCTTAGGTTTCATAGCCTTGGAGTTCACTGCATCAGCGATTTAGCATGCCAAACCCCATACCTCAGCGTTGTCCGTAAAACAACGCCCGTCGACCGTCCCACACTCTTCGGTCGATGCATCGACCCGAGGCATTTCGAATCGTGCGGTTGGCTTTCCCACCGAAGCGATCGAACGCGCCGGATGCCGGTGGAGACCTCAGCGAGACAGGCCCGCGGAGATCACGTGGCCAAGAGAGGGGACATCACGGACGCCCCGAACTAAGGAGCTTTCATTTGCTTTTTGTTTGTTTTTTTGAGCTACTATCGGGGGTAGTTTTGGTGGATTATGGTAGATTTATGTTGGTTTTGAGATGCTTAGAGCATGTGCTAAGTGATCTTCGGCATAAGCACGTAAAGTACAGAGCCATGTAACGAGCATATATGTTCATTTCTCCATTAGAATTGTTTGGGTTTCTCCGTAAGATGACGAATCAAAACTACTATATAATCAACATAGTCATCCATAAGAAGTCTGAAATTGTATCGGTTGCACATCGACTCCCTCTGCCAGGATCATATCAATCATAGAACTATCAAGACTATCACATCTCCATCCTTCCCAGCCACAACAAAGCCTAGGCTGCTGATTTTGGACTTCTTTCGGCCACCGGTGCCGCCCGAGCAGACTTCCCGGATGTTGGAGGCGATGAGCCAATTGCCCCGGCCGCTGATGGTTCAGCCACTGAGACAAAGACAGGCAGAGCTGTTCCCAGTGCCCAAGAAGATCCAAATTCATTAAAAAGTTCCTGCCCTTGTTGCTAGTAGCTTCTTGTTACTGTACATCTTGTTACTATATACTGTAGTAGCGATGGCCTCCAACCTACGTGCGAGTCCATCCAAATTCCAACAGCAGCACTCCAAACTTCCGCGACATCCCTACATGACATGACATTGTCTCCAGAGTGTGCTGTGACTAGTGATGATCAGAGAGGTTGTTGTGTTGTTTTTCTTGCAGGATGTGTTGTTTTGCTCCATGATTTGGCGAATTGGGCTGAGGTGCACCACAGGCACAAGGTCTTCAGCCTTGCTGATCCTTTGGCTGGCCAAACATGCAGGCGCTGGCTTTCAACACGCTTGGTCGATCGAACTTGATCGAGATAGGATGTTGGTGCAGCGCCTAGTTGTTGGCATTTTCTTCAAACACGTCCAGCGGATTCATTGCGATTTTTTTCCGATTTCTGAGAGGTCACAACCTGGAGTCGGCCCTACGTGTAGCAGAGGACCTGGCCGGAATCCAGTTGGGAACCAGAAGCCGTTTCACTTAGGCCACGTTCATAGGGAGATGGTTTTACAATGTTTTACATGAGGTCCAACTGAGTGAGGATGAGTCCAAAAACATTAGCGCACTCCTTGAAATAGTCATGGAAGCGGAAGACCATGGAAAACCATTTGTTTGTGGAGGAAAATTGTCAGCCATGGGGCCATATAACACTTTCCCAGCTTATTTCAGGGAGTGTGGCTGTAGCTGGTTTGCTGGGGAAAATGTCAAAAGACAGCTCAAGCAAAGTCATGCAATGTCATGCATGCAATTCGAATCGTTTGTTTGTTTTTTTTTTTTTTGCGAGACCTTGCGTCGCATGGCTGCGTAGTTTTTCTGTGTGCAGGACATGAAATGCCTACGTCGCTTGATGGACTCTGGGTGGGTGCGGGAGTGGCTTCTTCCAGAGTTGCCACTTGGATGGCAAACAGGGCTTAGGGCTTAGGGCGGGAGAGATCGAAATGACGGTGAAGTTGCACCTTGATTCTTGTGGATTTGTACATTTTGCCGGCTTCACACCTCAGTTGTTTGGTATTTGATCGTATTTTTGATGGTACTTCTGTTCCTTGTGGCCCCACGTTTCCGCCCCACTTGTGGCCATTTCTGTTTTCTCTCGGCGCCCGGACGGCGGACATATGAGTCATGCACGACCACGGCTGAGGAACTCCACCTTGGAGTTGAGTGAGCCATCTGGCTACTTGATCCTTGGCTAGGTTCATACATGCCATACACTGAGTCATCATTGAGCGCTACCGTAACAGTGCAACACAGATGCTTGTTGGTTGAAACATGTTGAACCGTAACAAGATATGCTGATTGTATATACAGGTATACCGGTGGGGGCCGGTAGATTTCTGAGGCTGGTTACCAACAAAGATCCGTTGCATGCGCCTGACCACACAGCTGAGGCTTGAACAGTTTTTTGAGCCAGTCACCTTCACCAACAGCTACCTCGTCGTATGCAAAGCGACGAAGGAGCCGAGTGATTGGATCGTTTTTGTGAAGACTTACTGACGGAACTTACAACAAATAGAACCACATATACATATATTTACGTGGAATGTACAATGGAAAATACATGAGTCGAAAAAAAGCCCGGTAATATATATTAAGTAAGGAATGTCCCAGAGGTTCAGAAATCGCTTGGCCACCGCTTGGTATTCTGGTGTTTATAAAGTGGATATGCTACCTCGTCGCGCTACCAAAACGCAGGGTTGCGCTAGGTTCGCACTAGGTTTGGCGCTAGGATCAAGTACTTAGGTAACTTATATAGATAAGATTAACAAACAACACATACATTTATTGGTGACTAAACTTGTTGATTGGTCATACAACACACACACACACACCCACACAGACCCAAGAGCAGCAACTGTTTGAAAGGCAGCAATTCGCCGACGAAGGCGGTTACTGTTTGAAAGGCAGCGACTGTTTGAGATAAGACAAAGCGAGTTCTTGATCACAGACGTTTGGTGGCCTCATGCACTGGCAGGAAAGCGCGCTAGACCCGCGCTAGATCCGCGCTAGACCCCTTTGTCCAAGTGCTGAGCAGGGCCTACTACTCCCACTATTGTAAACATACACACAGACGCGCGAGTGAAGAAAATTGAAAAACAACAAGTGCAGCTGCTGGGGTGGGGGCGGGGGCTTGTTTACACAAAAAAGGAAAACCATCAACCATATCTTGACAACTTGTTTCTGGGTGCAAGAGGACGGCTACTTTCAGCTTCACATTTGAAACAGTTAGACTCTGCAACTAAGAATGCAGCAGTTAAAAGGGCACGCACAACATACAACCATATACATGAGCGTATGTTGTGTACATGATAGCCACCGCTTGGAGTTGTTGTGATTTCAACCTAGGATAATGATTTTAGAACGGTTTTTTCAACTCACGTGTTTTTGTATCAAAGTACATTTACACTGTTTACACTTTTTACACATAGAAATAACATAATATAGATTCATGCTGTGAATATATATATATATATAGGTCTGTCCTATTAACTGTAACAGTCAGTGAACATTGATCACTATTTTTGGACAAGGCCTTTATTAACCATCATCATCCACTGTTACAGGTGATAGTAGAGATCCAATAAATATATATATATATAATCACACCCGTCGCGCTCATACTGTACTACTCTATGCATACCTGTGCTATGAGGTCTGTCCTGTTCGACACCTGATGTTTGGTGATTTGCTTTTGGTTTCTATAAAAGGCATTTCTTTATAAGCAGCTAGGGACTCCTGGCATCGCTACTAGGAGCAAGGACGCTACGAGGGGCTCTTGGCCGTACTACTAGGAACAAGAAGCTACTAGGGGTTCTTTTTAAATTGTCGTAGAGGTTTTGCTGCTCCTGAGGGGGTTGGCACAATGAGCATAATGTCTCCCGCAGGAGGGCGTGTTGATCGATCCCTGCTTGAACCGCACTGATGCCTATTTGATGCTTCTTGACGAAGCTGGCATCCACTTGAAGCCGTTTGGCCAAAACACATGAGATCAGATTGATTTCGTTAAATTAGCCTTTGCTTTGCCGCGCAGATAAATTTCACGATGCACGATGCTTGTTTGCTGGTCATGGTCACAAGGTTGAAGTTGAAGGCCGTTCCCCCAAAAACAAGACTTGTTTTCTTTTCTTTAGACCCTCTCTCTCTCATATATACGTGTATAAAATGTGTTTTTGGCGTGGCTTGATCGACACAGATGTTTGCAGAGTGAGCCCAGTCCACGGTCTGAACTCAGGTATGTTTTGAACACCCACTGCCACTATGAGCACATGAGCATCACAGGCAGGCAGTTTTTTTTTGGTTTCAGGCCAGTTCGAGTCACCTTGAAACTTGAAACCATTGACACCCCCCCACAACATTAGGCCCAGGCACCCCCAAAGGGAGTTGGACTTTAGAAAGTCTTTGCAAACAACATTAGTCACTATAAGGCGGCACCTCCTATACTCCAAATGAAATCAACAGGATCCGCCGTGTAAAGAACAAAAGAAACTATCCAGACCCCTCCCTTTGCAACAAATTGAAGCCATTATTATAAGCCATTCAATGGCAGCCATTCTACGTCAACACACTTTGAGTACTCGCATGGCCAAATGAATACCTGTGATCGGCAGAACATGTTCTGCGATTGGGTGCCCCATCGACCCCAGCAGGACTTTTGATTTCTGATATCTTCTGGCTTGGTTGATACACCAATTTGCTGGGCTTCTTGGGCCCCACGCTCTCTCTTAGGCAGCGATGCCATTCGAAAGCTCCGTGGCGACGTGAAACTCTTGAGTTCCAAGGAGTCGGGTGCCGCAGCGGATGAGTCCCTTTGGTGGCGTTAAGACCAAAGTTGGTGAGATGTAGATGATGAATCCAATCAAGGTAGGGGGGCCCTTGCCCGCCATGTGTGACCGGGGGGATGTGCTTTGATAGTTTGCTTGGTGATGAGCCTTTGATTGGGGCTGGTTTCATCAGATTTTGGGTGACGCATCACAACCGCTGCTTTTTGGTTTTGTCTCCAACCATCTTGACTAAGGTTCTTGGTGCATGGCCAGTTGGTGCACTTTGGTCACTACCATTTGGAAGTGCGTGCTACTCCAGGCAACTCAGAAATGCAAAAGTTCAGCTCACGCAGATTGAATCACAGCCCGGAACAGAGATAAGAAGTGCTTCTGGATGTGCTTGTCGCACCCGGTGTGTGCGACGTTCTCCACTGCAACGAAACGGCACCGGTGGGACGACAGTCACTGCAGGTCATACATCTGGGTGCCTCACTTACGTGCTCCATGGACTGGATCATCCGAAAGTGGCCTTCACTGGAGACGCATTGCTGGTTCGCGGATGCGGGCGAACGGACTTCGCGCAAGGTGGGCTGATCAAAGATGGCTCATAAGCAGCTCCCATGCTGCTTGCAGAGCTGAGCTGTACTTTTTGAGTTTTCGGAGCTGTTATAGTTATAGGGCTTGAGGACGTTGCAGATTGATTCATATGAATTCAGTGGCCATAATGAGCTTGAATTTCAGCCTCGTTCATTTTCTTCACAGATCGAGAAACCTTGCAGCATGTCCCATGCCAGGTGATGCAGGTCGCTTGTACGATAGTGTTCACGCTCAGATTTTCACTTTGGATCCCGACACGCGCATCTACCCGTGTCACGAGTACAATGGCGCCTCGGCTCAGAATCACCGGGTGTCCTTTTCCTGCCCGTTGACATGGCGGTGTTTCGATGCTATGTGAACACCTGCATGTGCCCGAGATGTTTCGACGCAGACCTACCGCTGTTGTTTTACAGCTGCGATCGGATGGTTTGTCCAGTGCGTGGACCCGCGCCGACCGTCTCATACACCGTCGCCAAAGTACTCGGGCCACACTGTGACCAAAGTACTCTCCTAGATTCCAAGATGGCTTACTCGAAGGGCACTATGTGCTAATTACACACTAATACACACCTTATGATTGATATATATATATATATATATCGATGTAATGGACATTTGCCCTTCTTGATTTCTGTCAGTTTCGGACGGGTGTCGTGCACAGGTCCGCATGTGCAAAAAAATGTTGGCAAAACTTCAAGTCGCTTCACTCACAACAATGTTTATCACAAATTGCTAGATTCATATGAGCTTTTGGATGCCCTGTTCAATTCATTTGCACCAGAAAATGCATGGTTTGCGCACCCCACCCCGCACCATGGCTTGCACCAGATTTTGCTCCCCAGCCCCCCCCGCTTTGCTCCCCAGCGACCCTGATTTCCTGTTTGACGTTTTAAGCATTACATGGTCCCATCAAGCTATAACGCTATGACAGGTTCCAAGCAAAACACGTGTGTCACAGTACTTGACTGAGGGGCCGGAGGAGGCCCAACCTCAATTTACCATATTATAAACGTCATTCTGGGGGAGAAACCACGCCCTGCTCTGTCCGCAAGGCCGGAATAACTCCACGGTGGGTGAAGAGAAGGCTGGAGTTTCCACATTTTAACCCACTTGCAAACAGAAGGTTTGCAGCAAATGCCGGAGTCAATTCTGATGAAAAGAATAGTTTAAACTCTTGTCACGCGCTAAACCGGCAACTGAAGGTTTGATCACATGGGAAATCACATTCCTCCCAGCGAAACACGACTGGAGCTGAGTTTCAGCTCGGTCGGTGAAAGTGACATCGACGACCAGCTGCCCGACTGGTGAGGCATACAACCCGCGCCTCACGCACTGTAGGGATGACTTCATTCTCCTGATGGATGAGTACCTTGACTGAAGCAGGACCTGTCCAGAAGTAGAAGTAGAGCTGCCTGTCAGTATTGCCCACTTAATGTACAGTAGACGTTTGATTAATACCCCCGCCCCCATGAAGAGGTTGTTCAATCCAAATGGGGTCTGTGGGCAAGGGATGGTTGGTGGGGGGGCAACGTGCCCGCAAGTCCGCGCATCCAAATGGGGTGTCAAGTGTGTCTATTAATCAAGAGTTTATATAAAGCTGGCTGCTTTCTGACCTAGGCACGCTGGTTTTGTGCTGAGGCTTGAACTTCCCAAGCCCAAATTCCAGGCCTGAGAAGTGACTGGGAGAGTTCTATGCAGATGTCACACCGACAAACCAGGTCAGGTAAGTTCTTAGACTTGAGAGTGTCAAACACCGTAATTATATTCAAAATCTTTCAATTGAAGCTGCATCACAGCATTGTAAGGTTGGAAATAAGAGACGGCACAGGGATTTTGAAGGGAAGAGGCCAGCTGTATGTGTATTTTCGCTTTTGGATTCGTGCAGGTGTGTGACGTGCCCCGGCCAGAAAAACAACTGCTTTCACTTTAAGCTCGCACCATGTGGTGAGGCGTTCCGGGGATGTCTTCACACCCTTGTAGTCAGTTGCATTTGACTATGCAGTTGCTGCAATTGAACAAAAAGTACCAATATTGACCAACACTTGTTTTTGACGCCGTGGGTGCTGGAGCCCATCGCTTCCTGCCACCTTGGTCCTTCAAAATCTGGGGCTTGATGCTGAAGCTGTCGGCATAATTTGGGACAGCTAGTCTTGGAAAGCTAGCATCGGTGTATTTCATGACGGCAAATGATCATACTCCTTACGAACCAACGGTAAGAAGAGGTAACAACGTACACTTGAAGGTTTGCGTGCATCAAGCTTGCTTGAAGTTGTAGCAAATGGCGTGTTGAAGGCGCCCATGCACATGTGCACTAACGGCTTGGAAGCACATACAAGCTGCATGCTTGCCAGTGGCGCAAGCGGGAGGCAATTCAAGCATGGGCCATCAACATCGTGATGCTTGCTCCGTGCCAAGGGCACATATACAATGTGTATGATGTTGCCATGTATTACTGGATTTGATATCTAAAAAGAGAGTGTCAAAATGTCAACCGTCAACCTTGTACAGTTGCAATGCGTTCGATTTATTCTGTGGAGCAAGTTCTCCCGATGGGGAAGCAATTGCTTCCCTAAAATCCTGGCTGCTTTTTGAACTCTGCCAGCGTTCATGCTGACCCTCCGAGCCGATATTTGAAACCATTGAAGTAGGCGAAAGTTGACCAGGTTGGACCACCAATAAGACTGCACCAATAAGACTGAAGTCGCTTAGGTTGACAGACCTTGCTGTCCAGTGATTCTGGTGCTTAATGCAAGTGTATGGGAAGCTAATTGCGCCTGAACACATCGTAACCGTGCACTCAAAACTCAATCACCAGGGGAATTGGAGTGGAAAGTCCAGCCTCAAGCACGTCTTATTGGGGGGTCCACCTTCGCGCCCTCAAGTTGCATGCGGTTTTTGTTGTCGAGGACGAAACGGTACAGTTCCCTTTGGGCAATTGCGCAGGTCAGCGATTGCGAACTCAAACCCTTTTTGATCCTTTGAAATTGCCAGTTGTGGGTATTTAGTTCTTTTTTCAACTCAGTCCAGACATCCCAGGATGTCCAAACTGGCAGGACTGGGTATGCCTTTCCAGTTGCCATTGCTGACACAAGTTCTGGCTGGATCAAGCTAACTAGCCGTGCCTTGTACAGGCGGCCGCCTAGGTTGTCAGAGGCCTTGTTCGGAGGAAGCTTTCAAAGAAAGACGTTGACTCCTGCTATATCTCCGGCTGATCGGTCAAAAATGAGCCTTCATAGCGGTTGGGTCGCAAAACCTACCACAAGTCCTACTGTAAATAAGGTTCCTGTGGATATCTTCAACCACTCACTTCAACCACTCGCACGTGTCCGGCTTGCCCAGTTTGAAGCTGCTATCGAGTAGCGAAATCGGGACCTGGAAGAATCGCTGAAATGGCTTCCGACTGTGGCTCACAATCTTCAATCGTTCTGAACCCATCAGTTTGTAAAAGCTTTTCGAGGAGCACTCAGGAGCTACACACATATATATATATATATACAGTTGTAAGTGCTGTAGTTGGGCATGGAGACTAGTAGCGATGCCCTTGTTACTAGTAGCTTCTAGCTACTAGTAGCGATGCACTTGTTACTACTGGGTGTTCGGAGGCTTAAGTCTTTGGGTGAGCCGTTTGAGTGTCTTGGCCCATCCGGTGACTCGAGGCGAGGCCAGTCCACCGGCCCGTCATTCCGTCCAGGTGCAAGCGTTTGCCCAGCAAGCTGCCAACGAGCTACTCGAGGCGCGGTGGGTGTGAAAACAGCACGTGGTGAGGAGAAACTCGTGAAACAAAAAGATTCCAAGTTCATCAGGAGAAGACTATATTATTTATTAGTACTTATCAGGTGAAGCCTCGGGGAGATGTCATTGTCATGCTATTTTTACATGATTTATGGAAGATTTGGGAAGCCTGCAGCCGAGGACAAGGTTGAGTCTTGCACTTTGATAGGTTTGTCAGTCCTTGACGAAAGAATTGTCTCTCTTTATGACCATCTCCGGTCTTTTCATTGCTCCCCACCTTTGCAAACAATAAGCACTCAGTATAGCAATGACAACGGACTAGGAGTTTGCTGGCCGTTCTTCGATGTTCATTCCTCACCCTTTTTTTCCAGCAGAATCTTCAGTGCCTTTCCAGGAGGAACGGCGCAAAGGTCAGCTATCGGGTGACCTGGAGATGGCAAAACAAAAGAAGGAATACATAATAGTCATAGATCATCGGTTTGTAAAAAACTGCAGAATTCTTCCATTCACTCTCTGCTTTTGGATACTTTTTGGTCATAGCCATACTGTTGATGGACAAAATCCTGCACCACCTCACCACTTTACCCTGGAAGGGTCGCATAGCAACCCCCGTGCCCCCTCAGTCAATGTTGGCGCGACCCCTCTGAGGAGGTGGTGCAGGATTTTGGACCTTCAAC